TAGATGTGGAGATAACGAAAAAGCATCTTGAAGATGCTTCGCTTTATCGCCTATAATCTGAGAAGGAATTTAAAAGTAAATACCGAAAATTGAACCACGAATGGGTCAAAATGGCAAGGGCTGCTGGTTTGAAACCATCAGTTATCTCTCATCTAAAAGTTGGGTTACCAACATGCCCCGTCTTGTACTTACTTGTAAAAACTCATAAGTTAGTATCCAGTGATGATCTTACGTCTACCGATCCATCACTATTTAAGGTTAGACCTATCATTAGCTGTGTAGACGGGCCAACCGATAGGATAACATGGTTTTTAACCCTAATATTTAACCAGTTGTTAAAACACATTCCTGCCCATCTTACGAATACCCAGATGTTTCTGGATCGTCTACGTACTGCGCGTGCTTGATGGAGTCCTTCGACGTTACCGCCCTTTATACAAACGTGTCGAATGACTCCGCAATGCAAGCCATATTTGAACTCCTTACACAACACGAAGGAGAAATAAACATGTATGGCTTCAGGATAGAGCACCTGATGGCACTCTTAAAAGAATGCTTGAGCTGCTCAATCTTCAGATGGTCTGGAAAGTACTACGCTCAAATAAGAGGGTTGGCAATGGGACAACGACTGGCTCCAAGCCTTGCCATTGCATTTATGTCTAAGGTGGAAGCACCAGTGACTGAACTCGGGCCGCTACTCTACTGTAGGTATGTAGACGACTGTTTTGTCCTTTGCTCAACACAAGAGGAAATGGACAAATGTTTCGAATTGTTAAACGCACAGTCAGAGTGTATCAAGTTCACCCGCGAAAAGCCGAAAGAAAAATGGCTTCCATTCCTGAACGTGCAAATTCACCTGTCGGAGAATGGCTACATTACAAAATGGTACCGAAAGCCAATTAGTAAAAATATCTTGGTTCATTACCTCTCCTCTCACCCCTCTCACACGAAAAGGGCGCTTATAAGAAACATGTTTCGAACAGCAACCAACGTGTGCACGGGAAGAGAGCAGAGAGAGGAGTCCCGGAACTTNAGAAAAATGGCTTCCATTCCTGAACGTGCAAATTCACCTGTCGGAGAATGGCTACATTACAAAATGGTACCGAAAGCCAATTAGTAAAAATATCTTGGTTCATTACCTCTCCTCTCACCCCTCTCACACGAAAAGGGCGCTTGTAAGAAACATGTTTCGAACAGCAACCAACGTGTGCACGGGAAGAGAGCAGAGAGAGGAGTCCCGGAACTTAGCACGGCAAATAGCCATTTCTAATGGCTACGAAACTGTAGCTCAGGATAAGTGTAGAGGAAATCGTAGGCCTCCAAACGACAACTCTAGCGATAGAAGGGTCCCTTTTATCCTACCCTTCATCTCAATTGATATAAGTACAGCTATAAAACGGTGCTTGAGAAGGGCGGGCTTAGAGAATTCGGTAAGCGTAGTTGAAATACCACCGAGTAATCTTAAGCGCCAGCTAGTTCGTAACCGCCTATATGACCGTCTATGTGCAACTCAAAATTGCATAATTTGCCCCAGTGGTAGAGACGGTGATTGCATGAGCTCGGGTATAGTTTAACTGATCTCCTGTAAGACGTGCGGTGACGAATACATTGGCGAAACGGGTAGACCCCTCTGTGTCCGCGTAAAAGAACACCTAGCCGGTAAACATAGACCAAATACACCGCTAGGCACGCATAGGACCCAGAGACATAACGGGGACGACTTTGAAGTATGTGTCACGATCCTCGCACGCGAATCAAGAACACAGGCGCGAAAAACTCTTGAGGCATTCTGGATTAATTCCAGAAATCCGAAAATGAACCGCAGGGAAGAATGCCTCATTATCACGCGTGATATAGGGCAGTATATAAGACTGCTATTCTGATGGGAGGGGCACGTTATACTTCCATGTGATTTCTGTGCGGTTGGTCTCTACATGACATACTGAGTGGAAACCTCATAGAAAGCGGTGAGTGGTGAGTGTGCAAAGCTGTGTTCAGCGTGATTGAAATCTTGGTTTAGAGTTTTTTTGTTTGGTTATGGAGGCGTCTGGCCAAGTGGATTGCTGTCAACTTGACTTTTCCAGGCTCTGAGGAAGGCGAAATCCGCCGAAACGTCAGCTTATTCGTGAATAAAGAATAAAAATAACACCTCGCGTTTGCTCAACAAAATTTCGAAGAATTACTTGATCAATGCCGAGGTTAATAGAAAGTCGGTCGTGGGAGTTACAATCTTAACCCTTTTATTTACTGCCTTTTTCTTTTTAATGGCAGGGCAAAAGATCAGAAAGAAAAAGGCGGTAAGGGTTAAGATTGTGATTATAGCTAAGCCTCAGCTTAACTGGGTTCAACGACGATTTGGGCTCCCCAGATCAATCCCGTTGACGGGTGATTGCTGATGGTAAAAGATCAATAGAACTAGCTGAGAGACGGGCAAAACGAAGGACCCGGATGGTGTGGTGGTGAAATGCGCTACTCCCCGGAAAGGACAATCGGGCGCGTTCGTTCCCCACCGCATAGATCTGCGGTCCGGAGTTTTGCAAATATCTCGGTATTATATATGATTTATCATTTATCTTTCTTATCACGTTAAGGCATCTGTATTGAATAAGCGAAATTTTGTTGTCGAATTGCGACATTTGGCGGAATGTGTGTTTCTCAGATGGGCTCCGTGAGTTCAAACGTGCCATCTGGAACTCAGTCAAAAGTAAGCCAATGTCACGATCAATAACGACACTGGGAGTAACATAACCACGTTACTAATCTCCATTCGATGTCTTCGAATGAAAAGTGGTTATTTATGATGACGCCTGGAAACGCTAAGGACTCCCTGGACTATATGGAAGAAACCTCGCCAAAATGACTAAAAAAAAATTGAGAAAAAAGTATGCCAGCACCAATGTGAAACTTCGTTAAAATGGTCCCAAGTTTTAGTCAGTCAAGGCTTGAGTAAGCTGTCTTTGCTACTGGTGGTAAACTATCGCGTGAAGAGCAAATAACCTTGATCATCAAATCCATGGGTGATTTCATGTCCAATGACGGCCCCAATTGCCCCGTAATTGACTGCTTTGGGAAATGAACCACTGAAGAACGGCGGTTGAAGAATCCCAGCAGGAAATGCTGAAATTGTTCCATTAATATATTTCTATGGCATTTGACTTCATTTGCCATTTCGTAATTACTACTTACTTATAGCATTTTTTTCCGGAGAATAAAAGGCATTGACTACGGCCGGCGATACATCGAATTCGTGACGATCAAATGGCTTTAATAGCTTACGAAACTCTTTCTTTTGCATCCATACGACTGCCTTCTTCATAAGCATGTAATATGTGTCTTCTGATAGGATGGCGAGCTGAAATGAGATCATTTTGAGAGCTGAGGACAAAATCGTGGTCGGAAATTAAGCAATAATGAAGGAAGAAAAGGGATAAGTGCAAGAAAGGTCACTTATACGGATAAATAATGCTATTCTTTAAAAGATACCTACGTCTTTGTATTGCTCGTCGAGTTTCTTAATATCATTAGTTATGTTCGGATATCCTATGTTGTTTATTATAGAGTTGGCCTGCAAAAATCTAATATGCAATGCCCTTGAGCCATCCTATGTCAAACCTGTCCACTGTTTATGTGGACTTGTAGATGTACCCGTGAAATCACAGTAGTTATTTGAACTACAGCTAATGATTCTGACAAAACTTTACGCACCTTTGAAATGGCGGTACTTTTCGTCATCTCGTCCATCCAATCGTTCTGATTAACCAAGTCGGCGAACGATTCTCGCAAATTCTCGATCATCTCCTAGAATGCGGATATCTTTCGCATGAAGTTTCTTGAGTAACTCTGTGAGAACTATTCTAGATGCTCACTAAGGCTTCCCTTTTGTCTTCAGAATTAAAGTGCGCTTGCACGTAGATAGCACCCGCAGCTAATGGTAGCACCTAAATGACAGCGACTTTCGTATAGACAAAGTCTGTCGATTAGAGAAAAGCAGCATACGGCGCTTGGCACTTGTGCACACTCCTTCCATCTTGGCGACTGTTGCTGTTGGCCGGTCATCACACGTGAGAAATCCTAGAAAGCAAAGCAGTACAAAGTTATCTCGAAACTGTAGCAATAAGACCAGCGCATACCTTTTTCTTATTCTAAAAAGTGCCATTTACAGATAATTAGATGACTAATTACACGCCTTTCCACCTACTATTTGGAAAGAGTTAGAGGTGGTAGCTAGCACAGTTGTATGTGATGCCGTTCTGCACGAGCAGCGCTCCAGTTCAGTGCCACCGAAGGATCATCATATCTCTCATCCTTCTGGTTGTCGGAAAATTGGTACCAAGCCTGTCTTGGATCAGCTTGCTCCTCTAATCCATAAAAATATTTGTAATGCGCAGAGATTCTAAGAGCATTCTACACCATTAACACTCTCGTGACTGCGCCTAATTTTCAGCCTTCATCGACTTGCTGGTATTTTGGAAATAAACAATAGTCTTTCTAAAACTAGAGGATTTCGCGGCTTGTGAACATAAAAGGATTACAGAAAAGACTTTGCTCTAACGCTCTGTGGGGATGAATGTTATTTATAGCTACAATTTCAACTTATTATTTACTGCCTACTCTTTTTAACGGCAGGGTATTCATTGTGAAATACAACTTCAACGATGCTGAGATATTTGCAAAACTCCGGACCGCATACACCTGCGGTCCGGAGTTTTGCAAATATCTCAGCATCGTTGAAGTTATTTATAGCGCTATATGCTTTTATGGTACATCACACAAACACATTACAGCATTCGAAAGCGTTTTGAAACTTATGAATCTATATTTCAATATTTTTATGCCCGCACACTCTGTGCGATAACTATCAGTCACTGCAGCAATTAGAATTGAAATGGTTCCGCATACTTGCGTATGCATAGCATAAATAAGGAGCGAGTGTGGCGCAGTGGTCGGAGGTGCCGTACAATACACATGGGATTGATCCCCGTTCCCATGGCTCACCAAGCCTTCCTTCCCTCTGGGTCGGCAAATTGGTACCAAACTTGCCTGCGAGGGTAACAGGACTGGCTCTATACATCGATGAGCCACCGCGAGTCAACGTAAAGGCCAGATATGCGTTCAATAACTTCCAACAATGTTTAATGAAGTCGAATGCATGGCGTATTCCTCAAGGATTGATCATCACCGAAAGCATTATCCTTTATCCTTTTTATAGCACATATGTATGTATGGTATATGTATAATAAAAAATGTATGATTTTTTTTGCATATTTCTAAGAGCAGAATAGAACTTTTCCCGTCCAACGCACAACACAACATCTGTGTTGCACAAGCTTTCAAATGAGGGGCAGAAGTGTTCGAAAATAACCACAGTGATCCTGAGATATTTGCAAAAGTTCGGAACACAGATGTCTGTGGCGGGGAACGAACACGCTATTATGTTTCCCATGGGTTTACGCGTTCACCACCACACCATGCGGGTCCTTCGTTCCGCCTATCTCTCAGCCGTGTTATTGACCTAGAGGAGCTATCAGCAATCACCCGCCAACTTTTAACCGCCGGAAAGAGTAATAGCGCGTTCATTCCCCACCGCAGTTACCTGCAGTCCGGAGCTCTGCAAATATCTTAGCATCATTGTGGTTGTTTCACAAATAATACCCTGCCGTGAAAACTTGTAAAAGGCAGTAAATAAAAAGTCAACATTGTGGTATTCGAAAGAGTTCCGTGTGTTAAAATAAACTACCACAAAGAAAATGAAATCTGTGGACGCTATAGCGGTCATTACCACACAACCATTATAGCATCTATAGGTGTCACTCGCCGCGAGAGGATTAGTAAAGGACGTCGTAAACCCTCAACCAGTAGCCTAATCCAAAAGGAAAATCCGAGGATGTCCATGTAATACAGATAGGAGGCAACGACATGAGTACAAAAGGTGCTGAGATCCGCACAATGCTGTGGAACAAAAAAATTAGCACTAACCGCTTGAAGACTATGCGCATTCATTTCGACATGTGAGTTCCTTTAGCATAACTTTAATTTCGCTTGCATTTCAGGTGCGCTCCAATGACACGCGAAAATAGCCGCGGTCGTAAAATGGTTAAAACTCATACCTTTTTCCTTTCGCACTCCTAGAATTTTCCACTTTTCTTTGCCTTCCTTAACTGCTTATTTATTTCCTTACTATCGTATATCTTCTCCACTTTAAAAGTGAGATCATATGGCGAATCACTTGGTGTCAGACAGAATAATCTACTTGACGACGTCAGTGGAACCGGACGTGAGGAACACCGCCGCGACACCCCATGGAGACTGTTTCTTTTTCTGCACGTCAACCACCAGGAATATACATAGGAAAAGATATTCCACAAGGCGACACAATATCGACAAAGTTGTCTACTGCCGCACTGCAGTGGATAATAAAGTCACTCAAATCGGACTGGAAGAGTACACGTATTGATGAAAAACTCCAATTAAATGTTCGTTTCACGGACGACAACGTCATTTTTTCAAGACGTACCAACGAAGTAGAGGCGATTAACAATGAACCCAAAAAGCTAGAAAAAGATCGGAGAACGGTTAAATCGGAAGAAGAACCATTTCATGAAAAATTTATGGTGCGAAGGCAGGCATATCAAACTGGATGATTAAAGAGACTGCCTCATAGTGTACCTTGAGAGTCCAATAAACATAAAGAACAACATGAAGGGAAATTAGAAGCGAGGGCAGCTTGGGCCGCATTCGGACCTCTCAAAGAAGCCACCGGCCAACTGAACGACCGGAAAATCCGCGCTCATCTCTTTGATTCTACGATCTTCCCAGCGTGTTATGCTGCAGAGACGTGGGCTGAAACTTCAACCACGTCAAGGATACTGCGTACTACCCATATAGCGCTTAAAAAACGTCTTCTGGAATATAACCGGCACACTCAATACCTAGCCAGAATGCGAAGCTCTGATCTTCGAAATCTGTCCCACCTTAGGAATCCAGGAGAATATATCTCAACAGCGAAACATAGATGGGCTGGTAACATAATGAGAAGTACAGACGATATATGGACAAAAACAATCGTAAAACGATCTCCAGGTGAATGCAAGCGTCCCCAGGGACGACAAGCTACACAATGGGCGGACTGTTCTTAACTAAAGTGAATCAACTCTACCCACAGCTGCAAATGTTTTATAGATCATGGTATGAGACCAGCTGAAGCCACCGTGCTCGAATCAGACCAGCGCGGTGGACGATTGTACAGGAAAGAAACGAATGGAAAATGTACTGGTCTGCGGTCCGCACTATTTGTGAAGGTGGGTCGTGCCGGTATCGAAGTAACCATCTACAGCACAGTGATGACTCACACCTCCCATACGTCTACTAGATAGCTATGATGACCCATGATGTCTTGCAGGTTTGTACACGTTGACAGCTCAGCTGACAGGTCTACGTTTAACTGCGACTAATGAAGATTTCACCAACAACCACTCGAGTTACTCGACGATTATCGAGATTACACAGTGTTACCTATAAAATGATCTTCAGAGCAAGAGAAGTTCAACAAGATTTTTTCCAAGAACCGTCTTCACATGTACTGAGCAAGCTGTTCCGATTCCATCACTCATTGCGTTCAATTTCTTTCTTCGCATCCACCATCCGCGAAAGCCTTTGAACTTTCTGCGTGTGAGTTCCGGTACTGCATGAGGAGTTTCGTTCTCGTCATGAATACAGTTGAGTGCTAATCGTGTCGATTTTCCCTGGAACACTGGATCAGCCATGTTTGAGCGTTCCTGTGTTGATTTGAGGGGCTGGGCCGAACCCAGACAAGTTTGGTACCAGTTTCACGATCTCGGAGGTAAGAGAAGCATGGCGATATCGAACCAAGATCGTGCTCGTAATGAACGACATCACTTCCACTGTGTTGCTCGCCCACACGTCAAATAAAATAAGTGTTTAAATTAAACTAAATATACATGGTATTTTTGGGCTACCGGTAATTGTTCGTTACTTCTCCTTTTTTTCAGATTTCAAGAATGTTTGGAATTTCTTACGATATCCGTATTTTTTGGCTCTAAATAACAGTATATCCGCTGAAGCCAACGCCAAAATGTTGACCCTATGTGAAACCAACTTGTTTAATATTCTCAAATCTCTCGTCAAGCAGTCGAACGCTTGCTTGCACTACACGCCAAACAATGTAATTCGCAAGTATCTCGACATCCGTTTCCTTTATCAATTTCGATGCCTGAAAGGAAAAATCACAGAACCAGCTTTAGAAAATTTCGACTAGTGATTCCCACGACCGACTTTTTATTAACCTCCGCATCGACCAAATAGTTCTCGATATTCTTGTTGATCAAACAAAAGGTGTTACTTTATTCTTTATTCCATTAAAGCTTACGTTTCGGCAGTACCGCCTTCTTTTAGGGTATAATACGTAATTTATTACGCCAAAAACTTCAATAACATAAACAGGAAGGTAAAGATCTGAATGGTAATCACATGATCGCATGATCAATATACCCCCACCCAATTTCAGAAGAAGGGGATACTACTGAAGTGTCAGCTTTAACGGAATAAGGAATAAAGTAACCCCTTGTCTTTGCTCAACGAGAATATCGAGAACTATTTCGACTAGTATTCATTATGAGGTCCCTCCAAGAGATACCTTTTGAAGGAAATCGATTTCAGTGACAATGACTTCAGTGTCGTTATTAAACATGTCGACCATCTCAGAAGGAGCAATTTGTCTAAGATATGCCACCCAATTAACCTGAATTTCAAAAGTTCGATTTGACAAACGCATTACTAATTCGAAGTTCCAAACTAACGTCATTCATGTAGTCATACAAGTCAGCTACAACTCTTTTGTTATACAACCGTGTGCTGTTCCTCCGCTCATCCTCAGGCACGACAATCTGCAAAAAACACTGAGGGCCGGAAAGAAAGCGCTCATCCATTGGTGTTCTACCTACTTCAGCCAGTTTCTTCTCAAAAGCAATCACATCGTTTATGCTGGTTTCAACTGTAGCATCACTTCCATTTATTTTCGCATCTTCTCTTAGAATTTTAACTATCTAAAATATTGTTCAAAATGCGGATATAAGAACAGGTGCAGAAATAGGTGACCATACCTCTTGAAAATACTTCCTGTATGCCAGCATGTGGTTAGCGAACATTGTGCTATTGAGGTAATAGTCCCTAGCACCTCTACCAAGCGATAGCGATGCTTGATCCACCTTAAATAGCCGTCATTTACTCAAAAGCGAAATTTCTCCTACGTTTCTAAATAGCTTACAAATAAAGTGTTACGGGAAGTGTTCTTAGCGTCTGCGTAGATATAAACCTGGAAGAAAGATTCGACTCCGTAGTCGCGTCTAGCGAGTGCCGCCAAGTCTTCAATCACACAATAGCAATAAGGTCGTCACAAATTTTGACGTATATCGAAAACAGACAAACCAGTGAGTTGAAACTTTTCTTTGTTCCAGTCCGACTGTAACAACGGCCAGTATCCAAGTTCGGTCAAGGTTTCGAAAAGTAAACTGGAACCATAGGAATCTTCAACATTGGTAATACTTAAGATAATAGGAACTTTAGCATGTCTTAATAGTGTTTAATCACCCACGTTTGAGTGATGCAATGTCAGACCATGGCAAATATGCAAAACAGTTAAGACATTCTGACTACCTTGTCGGCTTTATGGAAATGACAGCAGATGGAGTACCATTTGGCACAATAGTTAAGATATTTCACAGTATCACAGATCAGTAGGAAATAGCACGCGTAGAACAGTGGTCGGAGACGCCCTGCAGTACACACGGAATCGATCCGAGCTCCAAAGGCTCATCAAGCTGTTCAACCTCTCGGGGTCGGCATAGGTACCAGACTTCTCTGGGGGGAAAGCAGCGCTGGCTCGATACTTCGGTAGGCCACCTCGAGCCATGGTACAGGCCAGATATGCATTCAGTCACCTTCAACGATGCTTAATGAAGTGTAATGCACGGCGCATCCCTCACGGATTGATCAACGGCGAGAGCTTTATCTTTCTTATTTATCATAGATCAGTGTATTTCATGTCAACATTTTGACATGAGACTTTTCCCTACGAAGCAAATTCGTGAATGTTCCACAATATGTCGCCGATTTCCGGAGACCATTGCGTACCAAGTTTCTCGATTCGTCTAGTTGTGTTGCGGCATTCATCCACAAGTTGTTGAATTCTTGTCTGCATTGTCTGCTTGCTGAAAAGTTGTCCTCTTCTCTTTTCATTGACTTTCCAATCTGCTGTTGTTTGTTAGGAGGGTGTTTGCTGATTTGCTACTAGCAATCTTTTGGAGTGACAGAGTTCTGTTTTGCGAAAACAATTTCTGCGAACATTTGCAAGACCGGCTGAGGACAAGGTTTTTAAAATGCCGATCGAACTCAAGAAAACTGCAATCCTAGTGCACAATAGTTTGCACTTTGAAAGTCGAATGTGCATGAGTGAATTATTGAGATTAAAAGCCGAAACAACAGCACTGTCTTTTTACGAAATATAACTAATATAAAGCTGAGATATTTGCAAAACTCGGGACCGCAGGTGTCTGCGGTGGGGAACGAACGCGTTACTCCCCGGAAAGAGGGCGGTAACGCGTTCGTTCTCCACCGCATACACCTGCGGTCCCGAGTTTTACAAATATCTCAGCATTGTAGTAGTTGTATTTCGAACAAATACCCTGCCGTTAAAAAGAATAGGCAGTAAATAAAAAGGTTAATTACTGTCTTTATCTTAAAGAATTTTCATTATGAGAGAGCACGGAATATCGAAAAAGTCCAGTACGACAACATTCTAAAGCGATATGTCTTTCTAACAAATTAAAGGATAGATGAAGAAGAGCGGCAATGTGGCAATGTTGTTGTGGCTCGTTGCAATAGTCATGAAATAATTTCGAAATCGTCAAGATCGTAACTAAAAAGTGGACTTGTAAAGACATACATTTAAAGTCTGGTTGAAGATCTTTGTATTTTATCCTACAAAGATTAGTTTATTACTTATAGGCCAATTCTTAGTGGATTGACAGCTCGACTGAAAGGTGGGTGAGAAACCAAAGATGATAAGTGCATGAGTGCCATATCAGATTGTCCTACTCTATATTTTGTGAGGATCCATCACCGGATCTGTGGATGGGTAGGCCTGCCACTTAAGAACTTTGTCGTCTTCATGTATATCATTGAGTATTGGTAAAGTTAATTCTCTTTAGATACAAGGATAGCCCTACTAGATCGTTTGAAGATGGTTCAGGTGGTCGCTAGCCTTTATAGAAAGCAGGAAGCTTATACCAGCTAGATCTGGTACCAACATTCTATGCTTTGTTTCAAGGATGGGTAATCGATCTCAGTTTACCGTGATCGGGTACTACTGCATAACTTTCCAAACAATGCTTTTCCTGGACCGTAATACTTCAAATACTTCGTCTAATCTATCATCCTAGAAGAAAAAAGAGTAAAAATAAGAGATATTGCTCTCATTCTCATAGGATAACATGAGGAAAAAAGCTCCAGGTCTTTTCACTAACAATAAGAAGTGCCAAAAGCACAAGGATAAGAAGATGGGTGAACTGGCCACGTGATTTTCCTTGAAACTTCCTCTCTCTCCCTTCTTCTTTCTTTCCTGCATGAAAAAAACTGCTCTCTATAATTTTTCGAAACTGACTTTCCTTGAACCTCGGTATCAATAATCAATATGTATTCTTTCTTTGGTGAGCTTACACGAGGTTGATAATGATATTTATTCATTTTCGGCTAGCCGAAAATGAATAAATATCATTATCAACCTCGTGTAAGCTCACCAAAGAAAGAATACATATTGCTCTCTATAATTTTACGAATGGAAGGATCTGAATCAAACCGTATTACCTGGTTTTCAAAATCTCCAATTGTGTTTTGTTCATGCATGTTTTATATGCGATTCGGGCCATATTAATTGAAGTGGACTCCGATTCTAATTCTTGCTCCAGTAGAACTAAAATTTAGTTGGAACAATGAACAAATCTGATTTTTGTTCAGACCACTTACGAACAATGTCTACGAGAGGTCGAAGACGTTTCTATATTCACCTTGTTTCTGTATTGACACATATTTGCCTCACAATTTATTTGCGTCATTTTTACATTATCTTCTACAATGATGTTAACATCGACGTCAAAAGAGCAGTTAGGCAAGGCGATACCACCTCGCCAAAATTACTCACCGCCACTCTCGAGAACCTCATGCGAACTTTGGAATGGGATAATATGGGAGTGAAAATTGATGGTCGGCAATTACACCATCTTCGCTTTGCTGGTGACATCGTCCTTACAACGCCAAACATTAGCCAAGCGGAACGAATGCTTTCCAACTTTGATGTAGGCCGTGGAAAGATTAGTCTTCGACTAAATCTCACAAAAACGATGTTCACGAGGAACGGATTGGTTTCATATGCCCTATTCACGCTCAACGGAACGAATATCTCCGAGTGCTCCAATTACGTCTATCTAGGTAGGAAAATTAACATTATGAAAAACTTAGCTCCAGATCTGAGCAGAAGGAAACGAGCGGCTTGGGAAGCTTTCAAGAGCATCGAGGATGTAGTGAAGGGAACAAAGAACACTCGACTTCGTGACCACCTTTTCGACTCAGCGGTACTTCCTGCGTTAACGTATGCGTCAGAAACCTGGTCGCTGCGTAAGCAAGGTGAAAGGTAACTCAGCTTTATTGAACGTGCAGTCAATAGGACGATGCTAGGAGTATCTCGTTCCGCACATGTAAGGGGTGGGATCCAAAGCTCCGATCTGCGTCAACGATCAAAAACCGAAGATGCATTTTTGGTCGCCAAACAGTCGAAGATAAGGTGGGCCGGACACGTAATGCGTATGAACGACAACCGATGGATAAGAGCCGTTAGTGACTGAATTCTTCGGGATGTCAAACGTACTGCAGAAAAACCACCGACCTGACGGTTAAAGTTCTTAGCGAAAAGCCTAGAAGAAAGATATGATGTTCACGAGTCCCTAGAGCGAGCAGAACCCACTGAGCTACCATTGCACGCGAGAGGGAAAAATGGAAGATTTGCTGGCGCCCGCTCGAGTCACTCGACGATCAACGGGAGTACAGGTGATATAGGTGATCTTTACATTTACCTTTTTAACAAAGCCTAGTACAACTCAATCTGGAATATGCTAAGTGCAAGAAGAGTTAAAAATATAATGTGATCATCACATATGTTTTTGGATAGGATATCTGTAATATACCTACCAATTCCTAGAAATACTTATACCTCGTAATTGCTGCCGAACCTGTTCCCTTACAAATGAGAAGGTCCCGAAAGCGGACATATCGTCGGGGATCGGATGCTCTTCGTTCCAATATCCGCAAGCAAACTCATAGAAATCCTCGCACGGGTTCACCGACATATTCAGCGCATTGATCTGTAATGTTTTTTAAAAAATTTTCTTCTCAAAAACTCCTTCAAGTTGCGAATATAATTTTTAAAAAGATCTGATGTGTTCATTAAACAGTAAAATGATGAGACAACTAATGTACAATGTTGTTCGCAGCCCGAACGCATCCCGTAGTTGTGCAGACCGGTGGTTCGGCTGCAGTTGGGCCCACGGTGGGCAGTACGGTAGTGGCCGTCGTGCGATTCGGCTTATTCAGCGTATGGCGCCGATCCGTGGTATTCGCTGAAGGCGTATTTGTTAGACATTTTCAAAGATGAAAAACCCAAGCCATGGCACATACTTGAGCTTTTGTCCATTTTCAGCACCACTGCTAGAAGTGCTGCTGATAGTAGAACGAGCAGTATTACGACGAATATCAGAACTTTTTCCAGTGTTGTCCGAGCGCGCCACCATCGAGCAGTTCCCTAAATATCCAGCTTTATTCAGCTGATCCTCACATTTTGGCATTCCCCATGAGAATATACACTTGCTATCAAAACAAGTCAACTATAATCGTTCATTCGAAAACGTCCTGAGAGATGTGCACTGAAAGAAATGTCGAGCTTAGAAACACCGTCGTGGTTTCTTATTGACCAGTACATGGAAACAAAGAAAACTATTTATGTCTCGAGGTCCAAAAAGAAAACTAGCCTTAGGCGATTTTTCGGCAGTTTGAGGTTGCACAGGTTCAGTGACTGTCATTTCGAAGCGGTTCTGCGACAGAAGTCTCAGATAGGAGTAAAGTAGAAAAACGAGTCTTAAGAATACTATAGCACGAAGGGATTCGACAAAGCAGTGAATTGATGAGTCGAAACGAACTTTTCTACGGTAAGCTTCATATCAGCCGCTATATCTCAATGAAGCTTGGGTAAAAACCAACACTGCATATCCAAACGACTTTGATATCAATTAAATAAAACTCATGACATGCAAACAACATTTCTCAGGCAGCATTGCGTGCTCTAGTGCCAAAAATGGCGTCGAATGGAAAAGAGAAAACATAACGAAACTCAACTTCCACTGGATGCTTTCGGTACGCTTTAGAGGCGAAAACAAGCCAAGAAAAAAGCTCATTATAACCATGGAAAAAAGTTTCTTACAAAATACATATAATATGTGAAGTTCCATTAGTCTGAGATAGCAGTACGTTCACAGGCAACCATTGATGAGCATCTCTTAGACTCATAGTAGTGTTTTGATCAAATTCTAGTAGGCGAGCTGACAAAACTGCGGTAGGCTGGAAGTTATTTGGCTTAGAACTGAAGTGGTTCCCACCTCCCACTCCAATGCTCTCCCGAATCCACGCCTTAGCTCGGCTCTCTCCAAAATAGCATAGAGAATCAATCCACTTAGCCAGCATTCCACGACATACACACGGTATGCGAATTCCTTAAGCAGCAGCCGAAACAACACGAAGTGTACGAAGACCATTGAGGACGACGAGCGTTAGGAAAACGAACCCAATGCAAGAAGTTCTGGGATCCGTACAGTAGATGTGATAGCAAGTCATGTAAAATGTAAAATAAAATTAATCACCCTCTGGTGCCAAAATAGAACAGGCACTGCATCCAAAACGATAACGGACAAATCCATCCATCTCTATTCCCCCTCCCCCTGTAGTACCAATATTAGTTCACGAAGATTGGACACCTCCTTCCAATTCCTCTCCGTTTCGAAGCTCGATCTGATATCTTTTCGAAGTAGAAAAGAACAGGTTCCATCCCACAAAGCATTGGAAACGACCATTTGAGGAACCTATTGTCAGTCATCATCAACACACTAAGTGTACATTTAATAAGTTATCAGCCATGATGCAAAGTTCAAAGCCAGTGGAAGACCAAAAGTACAGTGCTTCTGTATCATAAGGCAGTTATGCTTGACATCAGTGACTATAACGCAATGCATCTACATACACTTCGCTTTAGTCATTCTCAGTGTGATGCACAGAACACTAAATGAGAGATAGCAATGCGAACAAGCGTGGTTTCGAAAATAACTCAGCACGATGTTCACTTGAAACAAAATTCTAAAGCAACGTGAGAGTACAGTGAACTGATTCACTGCACTTTTATGGACTTAAAATCGGCTTACGACCCAGCTGAGACAAAAGCCGTCATGGCAAAGATCTGCCCGCCCAGGGTGTTTCTGTTCAGCACATAAGAATCCTTCGCAAATAATATAAGAACTTCACAAACAGAATGTCATTGCTCCTTAAAGACGTAATGACATAAACAAAGGGCTTCGACAAGGCGATATTATTGTGCGAAAAGTATGCAAGGACACTGTTAAGAGCTGGAATGAAATGACATGAGAGTGAATCTGGATCAACCACAGCTGCATCATCTTGACTTTGCTTACGACACCATCGTTTTTGGTTATTGATCAGGCTGTACAACTTTTCGCAAGTTACGACATCACTTGTGGAAATACTGACCTCTTCTTGAATATAAAAAAAGCGATGTCTACGTAAAACTGACTCGTTTTCCGGTGTTCTCGTACCTCATTCACGCTCTATAAAAGTAACATGTGCAGATTCTATTGTTTCTGAGCCGAGAAGCCAACATGATGAACAACTTGACATTAAGCACAACAGGTGAAAACAAGCACGTTGGGAACGTAGTAGAGAAATCCAAGATGAAGTGAAGGAAACAAAGAACATTCGACCTCGAATCTTGTTTCTCTGTTTGAACGTACGCTTCGGGAGCCTCGGTACCAAGTAAGCAGTGCAAAAGCCAATCAGTACTACGGAACGCTCTCGACAGGTGATGCCAGCAGTATTGCATATCACGGAAGTGATACAGAGGACTGGAACTTCCTACCCATGTAAACGATGTTTGATGTCTAATCCTTTCGCGTACGATAAAATGTCAAGCACCAAAGCATGTGTGGGCGCACATGATGCGAGTTTAAGACAATCGCTTCACAAATACCGTTAGCGACTAGACTGCCCGCGCAGAATGTAAAACAGGAATATCAATAACCTATTAATCAGAATTTTTAAGGAAAATACAATAGAAAAAATATGATGCTTCTGGAATCCCAACGGCAGGGAGAACCCACTGGAGTAGCCTTGCTCGCTTAAAGAACAAATTCTTCCAATGGTTTACCGCGTCATCGTGGCTGGGAGTTGTTCCTGGGTGTCGGACTGCGATGTACAGCGGGGATTCATCCCCTGGCAGGGCCTCCCAAGCTGAGAACGAGTCCGGCGTTTCCATCAGGAAGCCTGGCTAAGAGTAAACCAAACCTGGATCGACCACCGTCCTGCTATCAGAGTCATATAGTGGTAAATCTCCCTCTGATCCACAAGGACTGCAACTGCCTCCGGTGATGGAGCCCTGGAGCAGATTTTCGCCAGGCTGACCTCGGGATTCCAGGGAACCACAATGGCTTATCCAGCAAATCTCCGAAAAATGGAGATTATGCTGGAGCCTGCACAACCAGTGATAACGGACCAATTAAGTATCAAGTAATAAGTAAGTATGAAAAGAATAAGTAGAGACTCGAGTGGTGCCTGCTCGAAGTACTCGGCATTTCAACGCACATAACGGAAGTTCCTATCGCCATAAAAATATCAGTAGGAAAATCACACATGTGGATTAAAAGTTGTAAGTGAAAATAAACGCCGAGGAACACGAGGATAATACCAATTTCGTTGATGAACTACTGCAAATAGACCTTGTTACGGTATAAAACGGGTCAAAAGAGACATCCGGTTTGATGAACGATGTTAATCTGGGTTATTTGTTGAACAGGCGCATTGTACTTTTCTCCATAAACCAAGATTAGTCGCCTAATTAACATATGACAAAACCATGAGGAAGGTTGCGTCTAAACGAATTTAACACATTTCAGAGCTTTTTTTTCCCTCGAATTCACCGAAAAAACCGAGGTGGAGTGCAATAGATGAGAATCTATCATCTAAAACATTTGAAGCTGATCCGCTTAGATTTCATTGCTAAATTCCGTGTTCGACACCCATAAACTTTTCATCGTAGGGGAACTTAAAATTAGACTGCAAGACTTAAAAAATGCATTTACCATGAACTTGAGTGAAAAATAGGAAGACTGAGTAATATCGAGATTGACCTCAGCTAATCTGTCCCTAAAGAATCCACGAAGAAAGTAGAGAAAACGGAGAGGAGCAAAACTTGCACCTAAACTCTCTCTCTCCCCCCCCCCCCCCCCCCTCTCCCCCACCCTCCCTCTCTCCCTCTCTCTCTTTCTCCCTGCCCGACAAACCCAGTTGGGCATATTGGCTCTATAGTCACGTAATCAAAACAACATGTGAACACCTAGTTGGATGGCCTCATATGTTATGCGGATCCTCTCTACATTCAACTCTTTACATTGCAGCCGTCATTTATGGAACTAGTTAAGTTCAGATGTGGGTTCAACTTCAGTTTGAGGAACTATTGTTTTCTCCAGAAACTGCCCTGCCGGAAGCTAGTTGAGCCTACTTCTTCAAATCCCATTAAAGCACTACCAGGACACATATCAGCTCTCCGACACAGCCAGAATTCAGGGAAGTATTCTGCTTTGCAATTTGGATCTTCCGAGTTAGCGATGATTTTTCTGAGTAGTTGGCTGATCAGACGAGAACGATGTGACAGATTCAGTTATCACACAGAGATCAATACACTTGTTTAAATGTTTAGCAGATTAAGTCTGGTGAAAAATTACATTCAGTTGACTGAGAAGCACATGAAACACGTCTCGCTCTGATCACTAATAATTATCGAACTAGCACCATGCTCATAATGACGGACATCACTACTACTTTGCTATTCGCCCCGACTGTTAGGTGTAGAGCGAGGAAGCATATCACATCCCTGAATTTTACTTCTAAAACAGTATAGTATCTTTTTCTTAACAAGTGCAAATCTTATTTTTCATTCCCTTTAACTCCGTAGTCGATTGCTTCGTCAGCGACGAAACAACTGGAAACTATTTTTCGTAATCTACGTTCTCGCATTAATATACAGAGCGGCCAACTAATTTTTTACTACCAGTACCAATACAGCGCTCATCACAAGGCACACAGTTCTTCTTAAAGAAACAAACCAAACAATATATCCTGATAGATACCTGTTCATTACGCATTACATCGGAGCACAAAAGTAGTTCTTGTAGAACAAGAGG